TCTTTCTCTGACTTACTTCACTTAGCATAATACCCTCTACGTCCGTCCGTGGTGTCGCCAATGGCAAGATTTCATTCTTTTTTATGGGTGAGTGATATTCCACTGCGTAGATGTACCACAGCTGCTTTGTCTACTCATGTATGGTGCACACCTGGGTTGCTTCCATATCTTGGCTGCTGTAAGGAATGCTGCAGTGAGCATAAGGGTGTGTGTACCTTTTCGTATTAGTGCTTCTTACGCCGTTTGTACATGGTGTAAGAAAGTAGTCCCATTTCTTTCTATTTTTTTTTTTTGCATGCATCTGCTCACTTTGCCCAACACCACTATTGAATAGAGTGTCTGTACTCCATTGTGTACCCTTATGTACTTTGTCACAGGTTAACTGACCAGACAAGCGAGACTTTATTCCTGAGCTCTCTATCCTCGCCCACTGAGCTATATATTTGTTTTTATGTCAGCGCCATGCTGTTTTGATTAGCGTGGCTTTGGAGTGTAGTTTGAAATCAGGGCATGTGATGCCTCCCACTTTGTTCTTTCTCGCGGTTTCTTTGGCTATGTGGGCTCTTTTGTGGTTCTGTATAAATTTTAGGATTAGTTATTCTGTTTCTGAGAAGAATGCCACTGGTGTTTTGATAGGGATTGCATTGAATCTGTTTATTGCTTTAGGTAGTAAGAACATTGTAACAGAACAATCCTTCCAATCCATGAGCTTTTTATTTAAGATTTTTATTATTAAAAGTAATCATCATAGCAAGTAATACTCCCTGAGCATATTGTGTGGCTCTATGCTAAATGTACGTTACAATCTCATTTAAGTTTTACGTAAGACCTATGAAGTAAATACTAGTGTTATATTCATTTTGCAGGTGAGAAAACTGAGGTTATGAAAGGTTAAGAAATGTGTCCAGTTGTATCCACTAGGAACTGGTAGAAAAGGGGATTTGAGCAAGTCTGTCTGATTGTTATAATGTTGCCCAACTTGTTACACAGCCTTCTATTTCGAATGGATTTCTAATTCTCACAAATACGAATTTGGTGTTTTGAAAGCAAGTATTCTGCCATTCTAAAGTGAAAGAAATATTAATTTAATTCATTTATTTGTAGAAATAAATTAATACTCAGCTACAGTTGACTTGGTTCAGGTACTGTCACTTAGATTACCGCATGATCGACCCCAATTATCCGTTCAGAATAATTCATTCACACCTGTCTCTCTCCTTTCCTCTCTCTCACACACACAAACACACACACTGGTATACTTTTATACCTGTGAAGATTTATTATTGCCACACGTGCCCACTAATTTGAGAGCCATGGCCCCTGGGACTCTTCTTTAAAATGATGAGTTTTGTCTAGAAGTTTCTAGAATCTTTATAAAATTAAAAATAGGAACGCAGGTACAATGAGTCCATGGTAAGACTTAGATAAATCCTTTGAAAGAGAGTAGGCTCGGAGCAATTAAAGCAAAATTTTAACTACGGTTGCTTTGGGGGCAGAACCTGTGGCTGTGACCGCGCCCCATTCACATTCACATGTGATGGAGAAATGGACAAATACCAAACTGTAGGTTTGTCCAAGGTCATGGCTGTTTTAAAGACATACTGGGCTAGAGCAAACCCTTGATAAACCAACAGCTGGAAATTCGGTTTTTTATTCGACCCTCTCAGAAACACACCTCCATGTGGAGGGGTGAGCAGGTCCTTAGGCCCCACACGTCACTCCTTTCCACTCTGGAAGCCACCACTTTGCCTGTGCATTGTCCCGATGGCCAGGGATTGAAACAAATGCAAGGTGGGGTTGGGGGGGCGTTGAGTGCAGAGAAGTCAGCCCAGTGACTCCAGGGATTGGAGAGGTTTCGTCAGTGGATGGCTTGCAGAGCGTCCCTTTGAAATCGTGCAGTGTCCCCAGAGAAGTGACAATTCTGAACACACGTCTCACACTTAGACTCATTAGCTCGGGGTTTCTCTGAATCATTGTAGGTCTGTGCCTTTCTCACCCACCTTCACCTTCACCTTCACCTTCACCTTCACCACCCGTAATCCTTTCGTGGTCTCCTCACTGCCCTCTGAGAAAAAGGAGACAGAGAAGAGATTGTCCCCACAGTGAGATGAATGCGTGTGCGGTGTCACCCGCCTAAGCCAGTGGCCAGCAGGAATACACTTAGGCCCGGCACAGTATAGCCTCCCCTGTAGATCAAGCCCCCTGGTTCATGCCTCATCTGTGACTGTGGAGGGTGGGATCAACAGGAGCTGTGCACTGAGTTCCCGCTTGCTTCCCGCGCCCTGAGCGTGTCCAAGAGCAGGGAAAAAAAAAAAAAATGAGTGGAGGCCCAGATTCCAATTCTGTGCAGGGCACATCCTTTGGGTGAGACTAGCCATATGTCTCAATTGGCACATATTTCTTTTGTTAAGGGATTTGTTATGTCTTTAATAAAGATGTAAAAAATGGAAAAAAAATTAAAAATAAACTGTGGTGCAAAAAAAAAAAAAGAGCAGCCAGGAGAGCACTTGGCCGGGGGGGCTCGAGCCCCTGGCCCGCGGCCTCCCTCTCAGGGCAGGGAGGGCACATGGAGCGAAGTGTGACTGAGAATCAGAGAAACCTGGGCAGTCCGCTCTCACAGTCACAGGAACCAGCTCTGTTCTTATGCTTATTAAGATTCTTTAAAACAAAAGAAAATAAAATGAAATGAGCCGTGAAAAGGGGAGAAGAACCAATGGAAGCCCTTTCTAATCAGCAAGGGGACACTCAGGTTTGATTTGCAGCTAAACCATGTCTAAACCAGCTCCCCAGGTCCTCCCAACCATGACCTCAGGGACCCCCCGGCCCTTAGGGACCCCCAGGCTCCTGCAGGAGCTCATCCTGCTGGGTCACCAGGGGTTGAAGGTCAAGTTCAGTGCCAGCTTTGCACCCTGGCTGCTCTTCCGCTGGGCAACTGCTCTGGGAAACCAATCCCACTGTGGTTAGGAAGAAACTGTTTTAAGCTATAATTTCTTCTTTTTTTTTAATATCATTTCTAACTTTACTACTTATATTTTAAAAATTCCTAAATCAAATGGAATAGTCAATTTGTTTAATGTCTAAATACTTTTTTACTTGATCAAATAAAAAATCTTTATTCCCTGACCGGGAATCAAACCTCGATCTCCTGGATCTAAGTCTCAATGCTCAGCAGAGCCACGCCGGCTGGGTATCACATTTATTTCTAACCTTATTATTAAAATTAAGGTGATTACCAACACAAGTAAATTTTTCTAGAAGTTACCTATTATTACAGTTTCTATCTGGGATCATTTTCCTTCTGCCTGATAAACAACTTAAGAATTTTCATTTTGGTCTGCCGATGACACATTTTCAGTTTTTTCTTGTTTGATTGATTGGGTTTGGGTCTGAAAATATCTATATTTTGCTTTCATTACTTAAGGGTACATTCAGTGGGTAGGGAATTTTAGCTCGTCAGTTACTTTCTAACAGCTTAAAGATATTTTTGTATTTTCTGGTTTTCAATGGTAGTAAAAAGAACTCAGTTGTCGTCTGCCACAGCTTCGAGGGCAACTTAGGTTTTCTTCTGTTTGCTTTTAAGATTTCTGGGTTTCTAAAGTTTTATCCTAATATGCTTCTGGTAAAATCTGCCCTCATCTCCAAACTCAGTCTTCCTTTTTGTCCGTGTAAAAAACGATCCGCAAGGCCAGCGTCTCCGTCGGTGGGAAAACACGCCTGAGGCCGTGCAGGTCCCTGCGGCACGGTGGAGGTGCTTGGTCTTCAGTGGGCAGCTGCGCTTCTTCCCGGCTTCCTTTGAAAGGAGTGTCAACTGGAATGTCAAAGCCGGGAAGGCCACGCAGGCCCCGGGCCGCAGTCCTTGGAGATGGGCGCCTTTTGCACCCGAGCTCCTTGGTTCCGCGTGACGTGGAAGCTCGCGGGCTTCCTGTGACCCGTCGCCCCATCGACATCGCGGCTGCCGTTGTTGGCTTCGGGTGGCTTCCTCACCAAGTCCCTGCTGCCTTAAAACTTAATTATGATGAGGATGTCTTTTCAGTTCGGACTGCTCGCAAATGCCTCTCGCGCGGGCTGCGGTGATGAAGTGTAAATTAGGGCATCTGAGCAGGGGAGGTCCCAGGAAACCAATTGAAGAATCCCCCCGGGTTCGGGGGAGGCCAGGAAGCCGTCCCTTCCGCAGGGACGGCTGGAAATGACAGTGTCCTGGCCGTTCAGTGTCACTGCGGGCTGGGACCCGCCTCCCCAGGAAAGGATGTGCCGAATGTATGTGGGCCAAAATAATATTTTTCAGAATTTTGCCACTCGTGGAACAATTCTCTCGGCTTTATTAAAAAATAGCCACTAATAATGGCTGCGCACTATTCAAAGGATGTTACATATACAAGTTTACTTAATAGTTGGAGTAATTCTGTGAAGTGGGAATTATTGTCACTCCCATTTTACAGATGATGCCACCGAGTCATAAAATGTTTAATTTGTGGAGGTCACAGAGCTAGTAAGTGACAGTCAGTGTCACTCCACTGTCTTTCTTCCTAAGACTGCCTGGACAATTTGACTCAGTTTCCAAACTCTCCTTAGGATAGCTACAAAACAAACGGTAGGCCGTTTTTAAGGAGTGATCCGTCAGATTACTTTAAAAATTAACTCCCCACGCACCAAACTTCGGTGCCTGTTTCCCTGCCTGCCTGAGGCTCCGGAGCAGGAACCCGCTTGCCCCCGGCTGGTCTCCTGCGGGCCCGCGCGTGGGCTCGAACTTCCCACTCGGCCCCGCCCGTGAGCGCTTGCTCATGGCCTTGCACCTTCCAACATGCGTCTACAGCTCTCCTCTCTGCGTTTGTTCTTGTGTGTGTGAGCTTTTAAAATTTTTCGTGACTGTCATTGTATTCGCAGAGCTCTGCTTGGGTTGCGGGAAGTATTTCTCTGTGGGACTCGGGGAGCAGAGGTGGGGAGAGGGCGGGAAGGGAAGATTACCCACAGCTTCAAATCTTTGGGGCTGCTTCTGGCAGATCACCGGGCCTTGCAGAGGTTGGAGCTGAGTCCAGAAGAGCCCTGAATACATGAACTTCGTGGTATGAAGTGTGCCCAGCCGGGTCACACGGGATACTCGTCCGACCGGTCGGCAGTGTCCTGCGTGGGGATGCAGCGAGCGCTCTGAGGGGCCGCGCCCACCCGTGAGCCTGGAATAGGGGCCACGGTGCCCAGCGAGGCAGGCAGCTGAAGCTCAGGAGCAGCAGCCCTGCGGGATGCTCTTGTTTTCTAAAATACAGGCAGAGCTTCGTACGTTACTGCCCCAGACTCCAAGACAGCCAGTTTATTTTTAAAGCAAGAAATAAGAAACACCTGTTTATTATCGACCATAACAACATGTTTAATTTTGAGGGACTCTTTTTGGCAGTTGCTAACAAGCCATATTTTAAGATTTAAAATGGTTTTTAATCTATTCTAAGGCATGAGGAAATATATTTAGATGTTTCTCAGCTTTCCGTTAAGTTGATTGAGTATTAAATGTATACTAACGTTAACTTCAGTCATCATTTTACAACGTTATAATTAATGAAAAGAAGAAATTTAACAGTTCTGTCTTTATCTTCTTGCTCTGTTTCTGAAGGAAACCATTAAGGCAGAATTATCAGTGACCCACTAAAACGGTATTTTTGAGAATCAGTTTTCACATTGTAAACATGTGTGAGTGACAATAAAACACGTGAGAAGGGAAGAAACCCTGTAGGTGAGTGAGCTGAGCGTAGCCGTCCTTCCCCTTTCGGGTCATTGGCTTGGCCGGTTTTTCCTGTCTCCTCTGGGTGCCAGGTGATGGTTGTCTACAACGAAACAGAAAAGACTAACTAGAATTTTTTGAAAACACATTAAATGCGGCAGTTCAACTAGGAACTCATTTTGAAAAAGTAAAAAAGCAAAAAATATAAATGGAACGTTTCTTATGAATTTTCATGTACTACTTTAATAAATCTTTAAAGGCCGTGTTAATGTTCCTCTTTCTCAGATTTGAGGCTTTCCGTTAGCACCACTCTTACTAGCATTTACCATCAGAAAGGAAATAGCGAAGGAAGTTCTTTTCCTTGTCCATCTTAATATTTTTACACTTTTTTTTTTTCATTTTGATGTTTTTTTTCGCTATTATCTCTGGTTTAGGCCTAATTTTTTAAATGTACATAACCAAAATACTTAGTGTAAGAATGTTCAAAGCTTGCGTTTAATCTGAGGATTTTGCACAAGTCTCACCAAGGTACCACCCTTCAAAGGAATAATGCATGGACAAATCCTAAAACCTGCCTAACATAGACTAATTTGACCTCTTTTTAAGTTAATTTCATTGAAAAGTATGTTTGCTAGTGGCGAGCAACGGTATCACCAGCCACAGATGTTTTTTGTTGTTTTAAATAATTGAGGTTAAGAGAAATTAAAAGGGGAAACAGTAGTCGTGTAAAGAACAGTGCCATTTTGTGAGCTAATTAAATTTTTGCTGACTTTGTCTCTTAAAATTGTACCTAACCCCACTGGGTATGCCCCAAATGAATATAGACTATTATGTAAAAACCAGCTCTTCTCTTGGATGCTGCGGCGGAAGACAGATCAGAAAGATTTCTGCAGCGTCTCATCAAAATTTAGTGCCTGCACATTTATCCTTATTTTTCAAAATTTTGGAGAACATCCATTTTTTACATTATTTGACTTTTATTAATGAAGGAAATCGTCCGAGGAAATAACCACATGACTCATTAACGCTTTTTTTTTTTTTTTTCCCC